AAAGCAAACATCCCCCTCCAGCTACAATTGAATTTCTCTACTCCTTGTTCTTTGATTGCTGTTTGAAATTCATCTCCTCCCTCCACCCACATCCCTCAACAGGTTTTCTTCCCCTTTTTGGTTTTCTTTTGTACCTTGGACACACAGAACAGAGTTGATTAGACTCCTTAGTACAGAATATGCTATCATCCTTGACCTGTGCAAGGAAGGTCCCTGCTAAATAATATATCTATAAATTTTTTCTAACACAGAAAAATACAGAGAATAATATAACAAATGGATGTGAACCCATCATCCATATATACCAAGCTTTAACATTTTGCCATAGTTGCTCTATAGATTGTTAAAGAAAAAAAAAAACAAACAGTTAAAACTCCTGTTTTTACTCTTCTCTGTACAAAGATAATCACTGGTAACACAAGGCCCAAGTTCAAGAACAAAGTCCTCAAGGTCAGAAGTGATGAGATTCGAAGCAGCAGTGGAGGAGTGGCCCTAACACCACCCCGATAGCATGGATGCAGTGCTCCCAGTGCACCTGCCACTGTTCTTCTTCTCCACATAGACTGAGTAATTTAACTCTCAGAACCATCCTATGCAACAGTGATCATTTTACAGATGAGAAAACTGGAGTGCCTAAAGTCATACAGTTAGAAGGAGGCAGACCCAGGATTTGAAATTAGGTATCGGACTTTAGAGCTCAGCCTGATACCTCTATGCAATCCTATCTTAGACAGTTTGTTAAAAGTGTGGAGATTTTGTTTTTCCTTGTTATCAATGATCTCTACCATTTAAAAAAATATATATAGCTTTCAATTTCTCATTAAGTATAAATTTCCTCTGATCTCTGAGTGCCAATTCTTCTGCCTGCTTGTTCATCCACTCTGCTGCTTTAACCTGGAATCATTCTTCTCCATGTAGTACTACTTTGAACCAGTTCTTAAAATTTTTGGTGTTTTCTTTATCCAGGAAGTTTTATGCTTGAAATATCTTTCCACTATAAAGCTTTTATTTATTATTTTCTAAAACATTGTACTAACTTACTATGTGCTCCAAGTGACTATAAAGTTTTGTATCATCCTATAAAATAGCTAACTATGAATACCTTTTTATATTTGTAATTTCTAGAAACCTTTCAGAATAGCAAGATTCTCTTAAATGTCTAATTACCCCAGATCTGATGCCTGTGTAATGCTATCTAGCAAGCAGCTGGCTTCGGATGAAGAGAGGCTAAGAGCTCTTTTTTGTCTTGTTCATTTAAAATCATTTGCTTCTTATTTAATATCTGCAAAGAACACTGTCACATAGTAGAATTTGCTGTTGTAAATTTTGGGTTGTTTCCATGGGTTCCGCCTTACATCTGCATGGTGTTTAAAGCCAATGCTTTCTTTCTTTTTGTAGGCATTTAGGGCCTTGTGCCTCATAATCCAATGTCATGCTGAATAACAGAAAATTGAAGTTGAATTTATTTAACTATAGAGAAGGACTGCACAGAACAATACACTTATTTAAGAACTCGGTGCCTCAAAAACTGAAGGAGCTATTTTGTGCAGGTGGCTTAATCTCTTTGCTGCTTATCCTAACTATATTCCTTTATTTATTAAGGACAGGAACTGGGCACTCTGCTTCTGAATACAAAAGGACCCTCCTAGTCTACCAGAACCTATAATAAATGAGTAGGATGCTTATACTTCATTCAGAACAGCAAAGATATATCCTATCCTTTTAAAAAATAACTCTTAGCACTTCTTTTTTTTTTTATTTCAGCATATTATGGGGGTACAGATGTTTAGGTTACGTATGTTGCCCTTGCCCCCCCTGCCCCCCTCCCCCCCTAAGTCCAAATTTCAAATATGTCAATCCTTCGGGTGGGCTTAGCACTTCTTGATCAGAGAAAATATGACTAAAGTTTTTTTTTTAAAAAGACATTAAAATATATTAATCACTCCTGATTATATGCTGGTGGTCTTTCTACGTTATGAATTATTTATAATGAATCTTTTTTCAAGTCTATGTGATATTTCCTCTGTTTATGTAAAAATTTTTTTGTCGATATTACTTGTATTTTCTGTTTCTGTTTACTTCATAAGACAGTCTTCAGGGATCCCTGTTTTTTAGAGTAAACATTTATTTACTTTCCCAATTTTACTCAGAGATACTATAAAACATATAGCAAATAATCTTGGAGGAAGTAGCTTCTCTACTGACTGAATTAAAAACTAAGCTACCTATGTTTATGTTGAAAGAGGGAGAAAGGGGAGATTTAGGTGGATAGAGAGAGAGAATAATACTAGAAAGTGGAATAGCGTTTTCTTTCTTCTTGAATTCAGTCATGATTGTATAGTTGATTTTACTTTAAGCGTGGTAAATTCTGGAACTATGATGCACATACGTATTCAAATGTAAGCTTAAGAATAATTTTCAGTGCAATAAAAATGGGCTATGAATTAGCTGCCATTTTTACTGTCTGTTATTCTACTAATTCTCAGGTAATTGAGAATTAATTGAATAAAATTCACATATCAAGTACCAGTTCTTTGGAGTCTATTTTTAAGATAATAATTCTTCCTTTTAACTATAGCTACATTTAGAAGTAATAACATAAAATTTACCATATAGGCTCAGACCCATGCTTCATCTAGTTAAGGATTATATCCTGACAAAAGCACCAACGGATATTTTATGTAAGGCATAATTGTTCTCTCTGATGTCAGTCTCATAAATTCAGTCACAATGATGACATATTTGTTTTAATATCTTTCATCAATTAGATTAATTTTTAAACTTTCAAAAATTAAAATCTTTTGAAGTTTGAAATTATACCAGTTTACTACATATTTCATGTAAAATAATACTTTTCATTTGTCTTAAATATATCTCTTTAAAGATTCTAGGAATATGGTAACAGATTTGTAGTCCTGCTAACCAGACTTTTATGGACAAATATTGTATTCCCTTGCAGTTTTTATATTTTAAGGGTCAATGTGTGAGAGAGAAGGGCTTTGGCATCAGGCAGACCTGAATTTAAATCACAGGATCATTTTTCAATAGCTTTGATAATTTAATTACTCTGATCTTTAGAGTCTTCACCTGTAAAAATAAAACGTGTACCTGTTTTCTGTGGTAGCTGTGATTACAAACGAAATGATATAGGAGAAAGCACTCTGCACAGTGCCTGGTCATAGACCCACCATGGACAAGCATCAACTTCCTTCCCTCCTCATTCTTGAGAGTATGTGTTGAAATCTTTTGGCTGTGCCCGTGTAAATAGAACTCCTCTGCAAGCCCAATTGAGCTTAGTAACAAAGCAACACATAGAACATTCATAAGAGAATCAATTTTTCAAAAAGTTATACTCAAAAATAAATTCTCTGTGTTCTCATTTCTTCAATATAATGATATCACTTGATAAATGGAAAAGATGTACCCCACAAATACTATCTATCAAGTCCGTATTGAATCTTGTTTTGAGGGGCCACATTCAAGTGGATCCCCTCAGAGAGTTTAAAATCTTCAGTCAGTTTGACTCTTGGCTAATTCATTTCCTAATTGTGATACACCAGGTAAATCAGAGAGGATATCATTTTTTCCTCATCTGAAAAGTGGGGCTATAAGCACCTACGTGGCAGTGTGAGGGATAAAATTAAACAATGGACGTAAGGAGATTTTGATTAAAGCACACAAAATTTCACTTTGGTGGGATGAGTTCAAGAGATCTGTTGTACAATATAGCAACAATAGTTAATAACAATGTATTGTATTCTTGAAAATCCCTAAGTAAATTTTAAGCATCCTCACCAAAAAAAAAAAAATGAGGGAATACACATTTTAATTAGCTCAATTTAGCCATTCCACAATGTATGCAAATTTCAAAGCATCATGTTGTACTCAATAAATATATACAATCTTTATTTGTTAATTAAACATTAATTGAAAAATAATATACATGAAAGTACTAGATAAACATAAAAATTTATGCAAATGTCTGGTAAATTCCAATTAAAACATTTGTTTAGAGTGAATTTATTTTCTGATTTAAGGAACTAGGTCTTCATAAAACAAAGTTAAGAAAGCACGTTGAAGACATATATGTATTTGTATGGATGCATAAAGATTTCAAAGTTTACTATTAAAATGTCGTGGTCATTAAAACACCCGAGCAAAAGGAACATACAAATTTTATAATTCCAGTGTTTTGAATTACTTTTTCTGTAGAAACAAACCAATTAGACTATTTATGTTCATTTTCCACTTTAACTTGTTCCCAGAAAGAGTACTAGCTATTACTGGGTTTAGGGTTCAGATCTCAGTTTCCACACACAGGCCAATGACAGGACTTAGACAGTTCAAGCCATTTGTTCTTTCTGCTTTAGTTTCAGTTCTGCATCCCCACTCATGTTAGGTACGGCTGCTTGAATAATCTTCCTCAAAAACTGCTTAAATTCTCCAGTTCAAGACTGTGGAAGACAATTTCCTGTTTGCATTCTCTTGGCTTTGAAAGTCATTAAATGCCTTTTAGATGCTGCCCAAAGTTAAGAAATTCTTTACTGTGTGCCTGGCACATGATTTGTCTGTTTCAGTTCTACCAGGAGGACTCAGCAATGCTTCTCAGTTCCGGACCACAAGAGCAAGCTCAGGCAATCAAGTGTTTCAGAAGTTAGCCACATGATCAGAAATTCATATGTGCGTTGGCTACATAAATTTCCTTTGAAAACATTAGTAAAATTTAGCCTACTAGCTGTTTGAAAAGCAGAATGACGGTAGGGGCAGAAAGAGGCCAACAAATCAGGTCTGTTGAAACCCATTAATTCCATGGGGTGTTAGGATAGGGAGGGCTGGGTAGTTGACAACAAGTTGTGTGTGGTCATACAGGCAAAGTGGAATAAACAGCTGCATTATTCTTTAGGAGCTGAGTGTCAACTTTGAAAGAACATGATTTACTGTATGAAAATATCTGGATGATTAAAATGTACTAATCACATGAATACCTTGTATCATTTCAGATTTACAATGTCAAGTAGAGGCACTGGGGTTAAAACTTCAGAAAGCAGAGACCAAAATGGACAACTATAAAGAAATGCTCATGTAAGATGGTGAACATTAAACAACTTGTAAGATAACAGTGCTTTGTGGATGTGTCACAAAATGACAAGTAGAAAGACCCCAGTATGTTCTCTGTGACTCTTCTGACAGTGATTTAGTTATGTGGATCATAGTCTACTGCTGCTTTTCTTGGCTACTTTGCTGGCCTAGATTATCTATTGAAGAACCTGTAAATATTTTTAAATACATGAAGGATTTCTTTTCCTCAGTAAGAAACTTACCTCTCCATATATTAAAGCTTATTCTGTTCAAATGCTGTTAGTGAAATAGTCTCTGAACTTTTTTATTATCTCTATCTCTCTATTATCTATCCACAAGAAACAATATTGAAGTTGTTTCTTAAAATTACCAATTTTAGGTTCAAAGTAAGAGTTGAGTACTTTTGAAATGCTGGAATACTTACGCTTTGTATAAGTAAGAAAGAAAATATTGAAAAAACAAATGATAAGAAAATGGCCTTATAAAATCAAGAGCACTATTTTAAAAATTAGTTTCATTTAAGAAATGTTAAAAATTACTTTACAGTTTAAACATAGTACATCTATAATTATAACACTAAAATAGAATATATATAATCTTTGAAAATATCTAAATTCTTTTACTTTGTGGTATATAATCTAGTAGCTCTGGTTTTCAGTTTCTATATTTTAGAAGGATGAACCTTATAAAAAATATAAATATCTAGAATGCTTAGCAACCAAATGTTTGTATTGAATAACTACTCCTAAGAACAATGTGTTTAATAAAATATTGAACAACACAAGGAGGAAAAAAATTCAAAAATGCCCTATCAAATTAATGTATACTTGGATTATTTATAGCAAAATAGTTTCTCAAAAACAAGGAAAACCAAATATTCATGCTTTGTAACACTATGGTTAATAGTACAATAAGTGCAGTAGTTTAGCTGTCTGTGTACGATGCCTGGGGTTGAAGGAATTAGTGGACAGGGGGTCCTTAGAAGAGCCTCTGGGACCAGGAAGTAACTTTCTGTGAGATGAGAAACATGAAAAAGAAACAAAATGATGAGTTTTAGAAAAAAAATCATTGTTGCCTTTCCTCTAATAATATCAGGGAGGGCTTTGGCCATATGGGTGTCTTAAGTGGAAAGCAGCCTAGTCAGGCCATAACTACGGTGTGACATTTGCTTCTTGGAGCTCGAGAAGTGAAGAGGGCACAGTCAAGGAATAGGGAGGCAGTGCTAGCATACGACTAAGCTTAGAGGGAATTTGTGGAAACACCAAGACTTAGCATACAGAGTGGAGTCCTGGAAAGGTAAGAGAGAAGCTAACTATAGAAATAACTATACTGAAGAAAAGGAATAAAGCTTATAGGTTGTGACATGAATTGATATTTAACGGAAGTTTGCACAGAATTTTTTATATACATAGGCGTGTGCCATGCATGTAACGACATTTTGATCAATGACAGACCACATATATCATGGTGGTCCAGTAATATTATAATACCGTATTTTTGCTGTACCCTTTCTGTGTTTATATACACAAATACTTAACAATGTTTTACAGTTGCCTATGGTATTCAGTACAAACATGCTGGATGGGTTTGTAGCCTAGGAGCAATAGGCTGTACCCTATATCCCAGGTGTGTAGTAGACTATGCCATCTAGGTTTGTGTAAGTGCACTCTGTGATGTTCACACAGTGACAAAACGGCTCTTAATTGACCTTTCAGCAATATCTGACACATTGGCTAATCTGTTCTTGGAACATTATTTATGTTTGAGGTACGGATATCAGTGTTCTCCTGATTCTCCTCTTACCTCTCTGCTCACTCATGAGGAGTTTTTGCCTGGCAAGAAGAACGTAGCCTGGTGACATTCCAGTGTCAGTGTATAGATCCACTTTCCACATGATCCTAACTTGAACAGGCTAGGTTTATTTCCTTCATTCACTCAATATAAAATGTTTATTGAGAGCCAATTATGTGTCAGGACCATTGTGTACAATAGATATTGGAGGAAAAAGATTGGCAAGTTTCTGTAGGACTACTTAGGTATTTTCAGGCAATGCTAAGTGTTTCAAAAATGTAAAATAGGGGGCCGGGTGCGGTGGCTCACACCTGTAATCCTAGCTCTCTGGGAGGCCGAGGCAGGCGGATTGTTTGAGCTCAGGAGTTCGAAACCAGCCTGAGCAAGAGTGAGACCCCGCCTTAGCCACATGATCAGAAATTCATATGTGCGTTGTTAGCCGGGCATGGTGGCACATGCCTGTAGTCCCAGCTACTCAGGAGGCTGAGGCAGTAGGATCGCCTGAGCCCAGGAGTTTGAGGTTGTGTGAGCTAGGCTGACGCCACGGCACTCACTCTAGCCCGGGCAAAAAGAGTGAGACTCTGTCTCAAAAAAATATATATATATATATAATAGGCATATTAGAATGTGAGTGATGGGGAGGGGTGGTATAGTTTTTGATAGAGTGGTTGAAATGGCATCCCTTAAGAGATGACCTTTTAAAATCTGAGTAACAGAAAGGAGCTAGCCATATTAACATATGGGAGCAAAGAGATCAAGCACAAAGCCCTAAATTCTTGGAAATGAGTTTTACAAGTTCAAAAAACATGAAGAAAGCCAGTTATGGTAGACAGAATAATGGCTCCCCAAAGATTTTTCATGTCCTAATCCCTGGAATCTGTGGGGATGTTCCTTTAGACCCGTGGTTCCCAACTGCTAGGCCACAGACCAGTACTGGTCTGGAACCAGGCCGCACAGGAGGAGGTGAGCAGCTGGCAAGTGAGCGAAGCTTCATCTGTATTTACAGCTGCTCCCCATCACTCACATTACCACCTCCTGTCAGATCAGCAGTGGCATTAAATTCTTGTAGGAGCACAAACCCTACTGTATACTGCGCATGCGAGTATCTAGGTTGCACACTCCTTGTGAGAATCTAATGTTGGATGATCTGAGGTGGAGCTGAGGTGGTGACTAGCGCTGGGGAGCAGCTGCAAATATGGATTATCATTAGCAGAGAGGTTGGACTGCACAGAGACCATGATAAATCAATTGCTTGCAGACTCATATCAAAACCCTATCAGTGAGTGGCAAGTGACAATTAAGCTGCATCTGGTGGCAGGCTTTATAGTGGCAAGTGAGTTGATGTACTTCAATTGTACAACTGCATCTGGTGTCGGGCTTTAAGTCAGAATCCAACACTTATTTTAGTCCACACACAGCCTGCCCATTAGTTTATTTACCACATCCATCCGCGCCTCTTTCCTGCACTGCAAACTTGTCTCAGTCACAGTTTTGGTAAGTCCAAAAGCTAACCCTAGCAAAAATGAACAAACAACAAACATTGCTGGAGAGCTTCTTTGAAAAGGGGGAAAGATTCAATGATGAGGCAGCAGAAGACTCTAAAACTGCCAACAAAATGAAAGCTGCATTTAAAAGAAAATACCAGGAGTCCTACTTAAATAATGTATTCATTGCAACAGGGTATTCACATTCTCCAAGCCCACTTTGTATAATATGTGACAACCAGCTATCCAATGAAGCCACAAAACCTTCAAAACTGCTTCGCCACATGGAGACCAAGCACCCTGCACTAAAAGCCAAGCCTTTGGAGTTTTTCAAAAGAAAAAAATGTGAATATGAAGAAGAGAAGCAATTATTGAAGGCCACCACTTCATCAACTGTGTCTGCACTGAGAGCATCAATCTTAGTGGCTACTGCATTGCTAAAGCTAAGAAGCTCTTTACTGCTGGTGAAGGGTTGATCGTGCCTGCTGCTAAGGACATTTGCCATGAACTTTTAGGAGAGGCTGCAGTTCAAAAGGTGGCACATGTTCCTCTTTCAGCTAGTACCATAACTAGATGAATTGATGAAATAGCAGAGGATATTGGGACACAATCATTAGAGAGGATTAATGAGTCACCATGGTGCACAATCCAGGTTGACAAGTCTACCGATGTTAACAACAAGGCAACAACGCTTGTTTCTGTACGATGTCTTTTTCAGGAGGATGTGCATGAGCATACATTATGTGTACTTTTGTTGCCAACCAACACCACAGCTGCAGAACTATTTAAGTCTTTGAATGATTACATATTAGGAAAACCGAATTGGTCATTTCGTGTTGGTATATGCACGGATGGAGGGGCTGCCATGACTGGACGGCTTTCTGGTTTCACTACTCAGGTCAAGGAGGTCACTTCTGAATGTGAGTCTACGCAGTGTGTCACCCATAGAGAAATTCTGGCTAGCCAAAAAAAGTATCACCTGAACTAAACAACGTTTTGCAGGATGTGATTAAAATTATCAACCATGTTAAAGTACATGCCCTTAACTCACGTCTGTTGCTCAGCTCTGTGAAAAGGACACAGAGCACACACATCTTCTCTTATACACAGAAGTGAAATGGCTTTCTAAAAGGTGGGTCACTGGCCAGAGATTTTGAGTTACAAGAGCCTCTCCGGAGATTTCTTTTAGAAAAACAGTCACCCCACCCCTGGCAGCACATTTCAGTGGCACAGAATGCATCACAAAACTTTCTTACTTGTGTGACATATTCAACCTGCTCAATGAACTCAATCTGTCACTTCAAGGAGAACAATAAGTGTGTTCAAGTTGGCAGATAAACTGGTTGCATTCAAAGCCAAACTGGAATTATGCGGGTGACAAGTGAACATTGGGATTTTTGACACGTTTCAAACATTAGCAGAGATTTTGAAAGAGACTGAGCCAGGGCCTTCTTTCTCTCAGCTGGTGTGTGATCACCTATCTCAGCTTTCAAAAGAGTTTGAGCATTACCTTCCAACCACAAAAGACTCCCGAACTGGGAAGGAATGGATCCACGACCCATTTGTGAATAAGCCAGGTGAACTGATTTTCTGTGCTAGAAGAAGATCCACTGCTCAAGATCACAGGTGATGGTGGCCTTAAAAGTATGTTTGAGACAACTTCAAATCTCCATACGTTCTGGATTGAAGTCAAGGCAGAATATCCTGAGATTGCCACAAAAATACTGA